GACTAGTTCAGATAATGAGAGTTTTAATAATTAGTCGAACCTGGGTTAACTAGATCATCTTTTATCAGGTGTAGATCTTTATCTAATATAACTTCACATCTCTGATGAATGGACCCACAAAGTTCGGATTCCTTTTTTATGATATCTCCTTGTTAGAACGCATATGTTTATGAATGTATAAGTTTTTATATATTTATTTGAATGGTTTTATATATTCTCTGTGTTATTAACTTGTTATCATTGGAATCGAGAAAAATGTTTGGCACTGATTGATTGCTGCAGTATAAACTATGCAATCAAAAGTAGGAAAATGTATGAGCAGAAATATTTTTATTGAAAAATTAGAAATGCTATATTTCAAACCAATATATTATGTTTGAAATACTTTAAAAGCATTTTTCTCCATCTCTTCCAGTGAACTTTATATTGAACAGCTTTATAAGACATTTTGTATATTATGTTCTCTTCATGCGATGTTAAGAGACATAATTCTGAAAATAAGGTAAGAAGAAAAAAAGTCCATTAAATTTTTAAGGGGTCCGGTATGTCCATAAGAGCTCATGTTAAATTGCTTATGTACCTTTTTCTCAGAAACTACTTATTTCTCATGGATAAAATTTTTACAATAGGTTATGGGTACTATCAATAATAATTTGAGGAAGGTTTTTGTCTTTTTGTTAAAAATTAAATTATTATAAATTTTTTAAAAATTGTCCAATTTTTTTCCTTAAGTTTAGTTTAAAAAGTCATATCTAAAAATGTTTGAAATAGATATATCTAATTCCCTCCGTTAAAATGTGTAAACGTGCTAAAAATATGCTCATTGAAAATTTGAGAATTATATGATGAGTAGTTTTTGAGAAAAAGGTACATAAAGTGAAAAATATTAGATTTTGGGAAAACAGGGTTTAAAGTAAAAATTTGTAATTTTTTGATTGTTTACTTTTTTTACTACTTTCCAGAAGCATATGCAGGAGTTTTTTTAGTCTTTGCTCATCCAAAAGTGATTCGCCCAATTTTCTTTTTTCTTATTATTTTTAACAGTTTTGCCTTTTTTTGGGATCTCAAGATACTTTTGTTGGGCTACACGAATCCTACGTGCGTCTAGTTTCTTGAAGCATGATACACAGTTATAACTTGGTTCAATATCAGAATGTTTTAAGACCATTAATTTTACTACATGACTTACATACTGAATTGTGCAATAGCCATATTAACGCTTAATTTTTTAGAGGTTTTAATTCTACAAATGTAGATCTAGGAATCACGGACCATATGGTGTTATTAACTGACCCATTTGGGTTCTGAGTCTTTCCATATAAACGTTTTCTTAATAACATGGGATCACCTAGATCACTCAAAACTGGCTTTATTATATTCATTATCGTATATAGCAAGTTTGTATGTATTTATGATTAAAGTGCCTTTCGCGTTACCTTTAGCTTCTGTCTCATGAAACTTGCACCAGGCATTTACACACGCGGGACACAGTCCATGTTAAAGGCTCTCGTTTGAAGATAGAAGATGATAATAAACAGCCCAAATAGCAGTTTTCATTGCTGTGTAGATCATTGATATTATTTCTAATAGCCGTACTATAATATTTTCTAATTTTTGATGTTAAAATGTCGGTGAGTCGACCACTTAGGCTTTTTCCATCACTTAACTTTTTTCTCCCTATTTCGCTCTTAAGGTCCAAAGAAGTGTACCCATACACTTTTGGATAAGCCCAATTCAGTCAAATTTTTCCACTTGAACATCATACGGATTCGCGCACATCAGAAACTTATGCAAGGGGAAACACAGGTGCTCCTAGCAGATGTCATTTGATGCGCGTCAAGGAGTAGCTTCATTTAAAAAAATAAATAAAAATACTTACAATTATTGTACTTTCTGATATCATATATCATTTAAAACAGAAATATTCGAACTCTTAGAAAATATAATAAAGTGAAAATCTATAATTTTTCAAAAATTCATGTGCCGGACTCCCCCTCCTCCCCCTCCTTTAAAAAGGTCTTTTATATCTTTAATGCATATGTATTGGAAGTTTCAAAAGTTCTACACGGGAAAGTATAAAGCGTCATAAAAAAAGTTATGTGCTGCAGAGATATGTGAAATTTGCTGACTTAATATTTGCCATGGTACAGGGGTTGTTTGTAAGACGCGAAACAAGTAATTCAAAATGGTAATTTAGCTCAAATTCAGGTAGTTTTATGGAAGTAATGTATGTATATCACTCAAACTACACAAAATTAGGGATAAAAACTTGAAAAATAACTTTTGTGTATGGTATTATATAATTAATTAAGTACAGCTCTTCATAACTCATAGAAAAAAATGAACTCGACACGACGTTTACTTGAGCGATGGAATCTCTCCACCTATGGAACGTTAAGTAATACAGTTACTACTGTCAACATCAGGTACTAATATTCTATTGGCAGATATAACAGATATGAATGGCCTCCGAGATCACAAGAGCTTGCATAATTTTTAGTTGAAAATTGAAAGATGCCATACGACAAGAAATAGCAGACATTCCTGTCGATGTGCTGTTGTGTACTGTAACCGGTATAAGATAGTAACTGCGCTCATAATTGGAGTAGTGCGTTGGACGTATTCAGCATTTGCAGCTGTTAATTGAATACTAAATAAAATAAAGCATGTCCGAAAAAGATTGTACTTTTTTAAAAAAATTTATCTAGTTTCTCAGGTACTAATGGAATGTTTTATTATACCAGAAGAGTTAGTCAATATATCAAATTTTTTTTTTTTGTATCAGATTTGTACCTTACAAAGATTTATGAATAGGCGCCCTTCATGACACAGCAGATATATAGGTGATACTCCATTTCCGTCCATATTTGCATCAACATATCTCTTGTAACGGCAGAAAATTCATTTCTGATCCGTACTCGCATCTCCACCATATCTCAAAGTAATAGTGGGACAAAGACTTTGTCTACGATAAAGCCCCACAAAAAGAAGTAGTAGGGCGTCATGTCCAGAGACCTCGGAAGCCATTTCAACAACGCTTTATCGTCCCGACCAGTTCGATCTTTCGAACATTGTGGAAGATGTTCATCTCAAGTTATTATGGAAATGGGGAGGAGCTCCATCCAACTGGAACATGAAATCTTGGGAATCCTCTTCAAGCTGTGGCATCAAACAATTCTAGAACATGTTAAGATACGAGTGTGACCCCTTACAAATTCTTCTGCAAAGAAAAATGGAGAAAAAAGAAATTCTTTTTCGGACTTTTTCTTTGTCTCATCATTACCTCGAGATCTGGCAGAGCAGCGAGGGTGGATCAGAAATGAATTTTCTGCCATTACAATAGACACGTTGGTGCGAATATATGGACTGAAATGGAGTATCGCCTAGGTATCTGCCATGTTACGCGAAGGGAGCTTATATTAAAGCTTTGTAAGGTACAACTTTAGCACAGGAAAAAACTGTGATATATTACCTAACTTCTGGTATAATAAAACATTCCAATGGTATCTCAAAGAAACTAGAGAAATTTTAGAAAAGGTGCAATCTTTTTTTCGGACACGTTGTATAACTTTAGAGTTATTACCTTTTTGCTCTTGTTCCCCCTTCCCCCAATCAACAAAGGTTGTGGCATGTGGCAGTGTACTTTCATTAATTTTGTACTATTTTTTGTATGCCTTAGAAAACTCCATACCACGGTGAACATAAATCTGCAAACTGCGTGTTTCTTTGACCTTTAGATTTTTTTTTTTTCGCGTTTTACTTTTTCAACGTACTTATGAAGCTCTCAGTGTAATTGAATTTTTCTTACCTTTTGTTTAAATTAAATTAAGGCACTTCAAACATTTTATTTTAGAATTAGGACATTAGCAACTATGGATTGCGTATTTTTAATCTATTGTTATGTTCCTATCGATGTAAATCGCACTGTATCGATTTAAACCAAAGTTTCAGAAAGAATTAAGGAAGGCTTCAAATAAAGACTTAAAGAAAAAAAAAACCCATCGTACTTTTATATCTTAAAAAATCTTAAAAATATCTTAAAATGTTAATATTCCAAAGTTTGTTGCATTTAAAAGGATGCTATTGTCTCTGATAAAATCATTTGGTCACATTTCACACTGGAGGTATCAAATATTAATGATCTGTAGTCTTCAACGTTTATTTAAAGTCTACTGCTTTATTAATGAATTTAAAAAATATAAATTCAAATTTAAAAACAATTAGTTTCATCATTGTATCATTTTCAGTTTAAAAAAATCATACTCTCAAATACAAAATATACTTTGCGTCTTTTACACTTTTATTTTACATACGAAATAAATTACTTGTAGTTTTCCATTTCAAATAACATTTCCAGAAAGGAAATCTCATTTTTTACCACGGATTCAGAAAAATCCAGTTTTGAAGATATATTTTTATTATTTTCACTCCAAAAAACATTTTATCTTATATATTTTCGCACTATTTTATTTTATTCCTGTTTGTCAAGATGGCATTACCTTATCGGATGCATTGGACGATTTTTTTTCTCTGCATCCGTAACCGCAATTTTTCTTTTCGTAGGGATGATACTGCATAAATGATTAAGAATACAATCTTCCACGACACGATACTTATGCATTTTTTAGTGCGCGTAGGTACACATAAAATATTAAGGATTCGATGATGGCGCTCCAATGAATATGTTAAGTTAACTGCTGAGATTTCGTTTATTAGAAGTAGTATGAGATACAAAATTTAAGCCAATTCCTACTTTGGTCAACAAAGAAAAAATTATTTTAGTTACTTTTAATTAAATAATTACAATTATTATACATTTGACAGAATCACAATATTAAGTAGCAAAATAGAAAGCGATTTTCCTTACAATTTTCCCATTTTTCTTTCTATATAAGGCGCTGGACTATTTTTTTTGCTTGTTATTATTTATTAATTAATCAAATTTAACTACTTTAATAAAATAGAATTTTAAAAAGAAATCACATTCTCAAAAGTTAGACCATCCCAGGTGGGTATGGAACCCAAGGTCTTTGGATTAGAAGTCCAACGCACTATCCATTGTGCCACAGGGATACAATGAGCAATTTTTCTTTCTATATATGGTGTTAGAATAATATTTTTGTTTGGTACTCTTTATTAATTAATTAAATTTAATTAATGAATTAATATTTGAAAAAACGGTATTTACATCAAGTGTCATCCACTACACTTTTAAAAAAATTGTATATGAACTTGAGTGGATAGATAAAAAACATTTTATTAACGATTGTGAAAATTTGAATAAGATATATATTTTAATACAGACAAATAGTAACGACAATGAAGCCAATTTTCTTGACATACATGTCAAATTAAATGTAATAGTTTCTAATATTTATGATAAAAGAGAAGAATTTAATTTCAATAGTATAAAAGTTCCTCATTTGGAGAGTAGTGTACATGTTTCTATATTCAGAAATATTGTTATTAATTATATACAACGTAACAAATTTCTGGTATCCAAAAAATCAGAAATAATAAATAACTATAAACACTTTACTAAATATTGCTTAAATCAGAAATACCCAATTAATTTTATTAATAGTTATATGCATAAAGCTATTCAAAATAGTAAGGATTAAAAATTCTAAGATTGATAATAGTTTATTACTATAAACTTAAATATTTCATAGTTATAGTTATCTCCATATTCTAATATTAGATAAAATTACTTATTATTATTTTATTCATATTTATACTCTAGTGTGTTACTAAAGTTATGCTATAATTTGCAACTCTTATTAATTTTTATTTGCATTCTTTTTATACTTTTGTTAAATGCTACATTTCAGCCATTCACATAATTTAATCTGCATTAGGTTCCAGAATCTGACAATAATTTATTTATTGCTCTAAGATTTAGCGCGGGTTTTGCATTTGTAAGTGCAATTTTTAGGTAAGTTACCTCTGTCTTGTAATGGATTTAGATATTCCTATCTATTACTCTTTCTATAGGTTTTTGCTCAGTATTATTTACATAAAGAGGGAAGGTTGGCTGGCCAAAAAACATGTTCAACCCCACTTTTTTATATAAATTATTTTACATATTAGCTTTCCTAAGTCAGCAATGTTTATAACACTGCAGTATCCATTTTACAATTTTTAATCTCGTTTACTCATATATCCTTCATTGTGTTATTTTCCTACTGTCTATGTGTTTTTCGAATGTGATTGTTGAAGTTATCTCTCCTGTTTGTAGAGAATAAGCCTATATATATATATATATATATATATATATATATATATATATATATATAGGGAGAGTGTGAACTAATAGTACTGAACTCAGAGTGGCACAACAGCCCATGAGGGTCAGGGCCTACTGTGCCTATCTCTGTTTACGTGACCTTAGGCGCTGAGGTGCATTTGCAGATGCAAGTAGTCAATCTGACGCAAAACCCTAAGTGTTCAGTTCTCAAGCAAGCTTGGTACTCAGTTATCGAACTAATAGGAATTGCAAAAATATAGAAAAGCAGGGGCGGCTCTAGGGCTGGACTAACTGGATCCCTGCCCAGGGCGGCATTTTGATCAAATTTGAAAAATATTTTTTGTTACAAGAAATTTGATATATTCTCTGAAATATTATTGGGTGGGAATTCGGTCGGTATTTCCTTTAGCGTATCTTATTTTTTTTTTTATTTTGTACTTTGTATATTTAATGATAGTTCTCTTTTATGTTTAAACTTGAAGGGTTCGAGGGGGAAGTATATGTTAAAGCATGGGATTTAATATGTTTACTAGTGAAAGATATGTAACTTTCTCCCCATCCTGGAGTGAGGTCACAGTGGACATTCCTTTCACCCTTACGATGCCCGGTTTCAGCTTTCCAAAAGGGAACAAGGGTAATAAGAGGTTTTGGTAGATAGAGAGCCACAGAAGGTGATTCATTTTAATCTTGAGTGTAGTTACTGTAAGTTAAAACAAATGCTTTCGATCCCCACCATTAGTAGACTATTTTTTCGAAGAAATTGGCCTGCTGAAATAGACGATTCTTTCTCTTTCATTTAACTCGTTTGAAAAAATAACAAGTAATTATGTCCTTAATTTCGAATTACTTTGAATTTTTAAGACTTAAAATAGTGTGTGTGTATATATATAGTATAATAAAATAAAAGGGAAGAAGTACTTGAACCTACAGTGCTAAAGAAGGAAGAAATTGGAATTCACCAGACACAGCAAATGTAGATACAAAAAAGTCTTTGGACTAAACTGGAGACCTATTATGATTTCTAAAGCTGTCGCTGAATTAGGCCAAAGGTTTAGAGTTAGCAATGCTTTATGGGTCCAACCTTCCCCGTACAGCAAAAATTTTCGACATAATAGGAGAAAAAAAGATAGAACCATGTTGAAAAGTTAAGCCTATTACTAACACGTGGATGATGAACCTGACAATATAGTAAAAAGAAATTAAGAAAAGAGAACACTAATGAATCTCGCAAGGAGAGAG